TATAACCTTGGGAGTGGGGGGAGGAAATCAGTGGAAGAGAAGAGAAACAGAGAAAATGGCAGAATTGCTTACTTCATAATATTATTTATGCCAACCCTATTAATAAAGAGTTGTTGAAGCGGTTTGTTTGGGGTTTTTTTTTTTTAATGGTTTAAATAAAGATCCAGTTAGTCTGATGATTCAACTCACTTTGTTTCAATTTTAAGGTTATAAATCCTAGTACATTTTATATAAATGATGAAATATGAATATAGATGAAAAATCCATATATAAATATATTTACATTAAATATGTATGCATATATATTTAAAAACCAAAATCATTGCTATTAAGTTGATTCCAACTCATATATAAAAACACACACACACACACACACACACACACACACACACACACACACACACGATCTTTATATTTTAATTCTGTTCTCCCATGAACTTTATTTCTTTTTGTTTGAAGCCAGAGCTGACAAGAGTCCGAATGCATGTCTCTTTGGGGGTACTAACTTCTAGGTTGTGACTGTTTCCTAGTGATGTGGGGCCCTGTGCCAAGTCATTGCTCATTGACAAAACTGCTGATAGGGTTTCCCCCTAGAGAGGAAGTAGTTCACGGGAGCGTTGTGTTCTGCACAGGTAGGTGAGATGTTTTTATAATTGCCACTAGGTAAAAGAGAAGACCCAGGAGGGTTCTTCTACCCCAGGGAGCCCCTCCCTGGTTATAACTTAATTTGTTATGTGCATTTCGACCAGATGGGTGGAATTAAACCTTCTAAGGTGTTTGTGGTTAGATTGTTTCCAAATATCTGGAGACTTCCTCTCAAACACAAGCTTTTGAAACTAAACCCATCAGGCCTGTGGCTACACCAAGGGGGGCTCTTACAGATCTTATACCAATCCACCATTCAATTGTACTAAGCACACTTGTACATATGTTGCCATCAATATTTCCAAAACATTTTCTTTCTACTTGAGACCTTGGTTTCAGCTCCTCTTCCCCCCACCCCCTTGTGAATCCTTGATCAATTATATGTTATTATTTTGTGTCTTACACTGTCCATTGTCTCTCTTCAATCACATTTCTGTTATTTGTCCCCGTGATGGGTTCTCCCTTTCTCTCCCTTCCCTCCTACCAACATGATATCGCTATTCCCACTACTGGTCCTGAGGGTTTTATCTGTCCTGAATTCCATGTGTTGAGAGCTCTTACTGAGTTCAGGGGTTCTTAAAGCAAGTGTGACCTACTCCCTGCATAAAAATCTCTTATGATACTTTTTTTTAAAAACAAGGTAGGTAACCAGGTGCCCCTAAACCTAGAGTACTAAAATCTTCTGGAATGAAGCCCAACAATCTGTCATTTTGGTAGACATCCCAAAGGATGTTTTTGCACACTAATATTTGAGATAAGACGTCTGAACCTTCTGGGTCTGGCTGGTTGGCACCAATTATATCTTACCAAACACAGCGTGTCTAGAGGCTGGCAGATGTTCTGTGGCCCTGGAACCAGATATATATCAAGATAGGCTGTCTCTAGGGGTCAACTAGTATTTACCCAGTACAGGGGGAGCACTGAATGCTACCTAGCTCTCACAATCCATACATACATCCATTATGTCAAGCACATTTGTACATTGTTGCCATCATCATTTTCAATATTTTTTTTCTAGTGGAACCCTTGGTATCAACTCGTTTCCTCCACTTTCCTCCCCACCTCCTACCCTCATGAACCCTCTATAATTTTATAATCAATTATTTTTTTCATGTCTTACACTGATCACTGTCTCCCTTCATCCACTTTTCTGTTGTTCATCCCCCTGAAAGAAGGTTATGTGTTGATCATTGTGATGGGTCCCTCTTTTCTCCCCCACCTTCCCCTTCCCCTCCTGGTATCGCTACTCTCATTATTGGTCCTGAGGGGTTTATCTACCCTGGATTCCCTGTGTTGCAAGCTCTTATCTGTATCAGTGTACATGCTCTGGTCTAGCCGGATTTGTAAGTTAGAATTGAGATCATGATAGTGAGGAGGAGGGAGAAGCATTAAAAACTAGAGGAAAGTTGTATGTTTTGTCAGTGCTATACTACACCCTGACTGGCTCGTCTCTTCCTGTTCCACAAATTTGTTGAAGCTTCCCTGAACAAAAACTGAACATATATAGAAAGCTCTCTGATTAAAAAGTGCCTTTTTGTGCCCTAAACACTTGAAATATAATAACACTGAGATATAGAAATAACAAATATACATTAAAATGACATAAAAGCAAGTGGAAAGAAATCGAACAAATACTTCCAGTCAGACTCTGAGCTTTTAATTATTACTGTATTGCCAGAGGAAATGGGAATAGAAACTGGAATGAGATGAATTTTCTTACCTGTAGTCCTGTGGACCAAGAGGAAACAAACGTTTAAAAAGATGGTGCTGAGGGCCCAAAGCAAACACTAAACCAAACCAAAAAACCCCACTGCCATCCAAGCCATTCTAACTCATTGGGACTCGGAGTGCCCCTGTAAAACCGAGGCCAGCCCTTTTGGGGTTCTAGGCTGTCAATCTTAACAGGAGCAGAAAGTCCCACCTTTTTTTTAGAGGGGCTGGTGGGTTCTGGCTGACCTTGTGCTTAGGAGCTTAAACACTTAGCCCACTAGGCCACCAGGGCTCTCTAAAAGCAAGCAGTGATGAATTTCTCAAAGTAGGCACAACAGAGGACATGCTAAAACTAGGCAGTTCTCTAGAAGCATAGTAAGAATGGCATCCTCCCAGTCCTCCAATATGCAAATGTGATTAAGAGGGAAAAACAAAGTTCATACTTTTGTGTTTCCCCTGACATTTGGACAGACCATTTGGGAGTGTTCAGGTGTGCAAAGTCAGTGGACTGCTCCTGCTTTCCTTTCTGAGATCCCACTTCTGAAACAAGTACACTCACTGAATGAGGCCTACTGCCGTGGTTTTCGTGTTTTTGCTTACTCAATGCTACGCTTCTGGTTACGTGCCTTTTCCATCTTGACTAACCATATTTCAGTCTTTGTATCTGGGTAGAGACTATTCATTCCCACTGGATCTGCCCCCCTTCGCAGCCCCACCCCAATACACCAACCACCTGCCTTCTAGGCCAGCTCCCCGTGGGTGGGTGTGGTTAGGGGAACGGATGGGGAATTGAAGTCTCCTGAACATTCCAGGTGTTTCCCTGGCACATGAATCCTGGGGCTTACAATTAATTGATTCTGAGCACTAGAGCTTAATTCTCTGGGGAGATTTAAAAGAAGAGCCACGAAGATGGCTAGGGTTCATTAGCGAAAACACCAAACCGAACCAGATGCAGCCTTCCGGGAGCCCGCTTCCAGGCTGAGCCAGCGGCTCGGGTTGTCGCCCGAACAATGAAGAGCAACCGTTGGGGCTGAAAGCGCTCTCGGCGGGGACCCCAGCGCTGCGCGGGTGCGGGAAGGGTCCGCCCGCATTCCCAGGCGGCCCTTTCCCGGGTTCGGGCTTAGGGAGT